CAATATTTTTATTCTAAAAATTCTAAAATCCCTAGATTCTCGAATCATTAAACTCATAAATCACTAGATTTCGGAATTCGTAAATTCATAAATCACTAGATTTCTCAATCTGTAAAATTCATAAAACGCCAAATTCTGAAATTCATAGAGTACTAAATCCCTAGACTTCTAAAGATTTAAATATAAAAATTTCCAGATTCCTAAATTCTTACATTGCTATATCCCTAGATTTCTACATTCTTAAATTACTAAATCCCAAGATTTATAAATATTTAAATATAAAAATCCCCAGATCTCTAAATTTCTAGATACCAATTTCCCTAGATTCCTAAATTCTTAGATTACTATATTCCTAGATTCCTAAATTCTTGGATTACTAAATCCCTAGATTTCTAAATATTTAAATATAAAAATTCCCAGATGTCTAAATTTCTAGATACCAATTTCCCTAGATTTCTAAATTCTTAGATTACTATATTCCTAGATTCCTAAATTCTTGAATTACTAAATCCCTAGATTTCTAAATATTTAAATATAAAAATTCCCAGATTACTAAATTTCTAGATATCAAAGTCCCTAGATTCGTGGATCAGTAAACTCATAAATCACTAGATTCTTAAATTCTTAGATTACTATATCCCTAGGTTCATAAATATTCAGATTCCAAAATCCCCAGATTACTGAATTTCTAAATATTAAATTCCCTAGATTTCTGAATCAGTAAATTCTTAAATTCCTATACTTCTAAGCTCTTGGATTTCTAAATTCCTAGATTCCAAAATCCCTAAATTTCCGAATCAGTAATGTAAAAAATAACATTTCCGAACCTATAAACTTCATAAAATGTCCAGACCCTAAAATCCCTAGATTCCTGAATCCATAAGTTCATGAATCCACAAACTTCTGAATTCGTAAACTAATAAATTGCTAAATTCTTAAATTTTTAAATCCCTAGTTTCCTAAATTCTTAGATTTAATCATAGCATTAAAAATAGTTATTTTGAACAAGGATACCGACTGTGATTTTTTATTTGTAATACATAAAAGTAATCTTATATTTTAAATATAATTTTATACAATCCACTAAATGACATTTTTATCAAAAATACAGGAACTGTCGAATTCGAATATATGAAGATTGTAAAACTTCCCGTTTCATTAATAATTCTTTTCAATTCAATAAATGCTTGCAGAAATGTTCATATAACACCTAGAATTTTATAACTAATTATATATTATTTAAATTATAAATACAAAAATATATTACACTATAAATCATACTTAATTTCCATTCCTCACAGTTTCGTTCGTTCCAAGCAAATTTTGACCACGTTATTTCGAGAACATAATTTAATACCCAGAAACTAAAACTGACTCCGAATTCCATCTCCAAATTCACCGCACTTCCCTCAATATTCGCCATTAAAATTAACTAACCAAGTTTCCTAACACACTAATTCCAAAACAAATATTCTAATCGTCGAAAACCTGAAAATCAGTAGAGTAGAAAGTCTGACCAATATTCAGAATATCCGATTTTTAGCTTATCGAGCCATAGAAAAGAACTTCCTCGACGATAGAATCTCTCCGGCGCGCGAAATTTAAATAATTTCCAAACTAAATATTCCATAGCGCGAAACGTTCGCAGTAAAATTCAACGATTTCAAAATAACCGAATTCCTACTTTAAATTCAAACAGCATAAAAGTTTCGAGCTGCACGAAATAATCGTGCCTTCCTATTAAACTCGAGCAACAAATAAATGAAACATCAAGTCTCGCAGATGTTCAAGTAGTATGACGTGTATCACCAGGCTTTCTAAAACGAGAATTCCAGGAGTGCGGCAGAGACAACCGAGGAATTTCCGACGAAAGTTTGAGAAACACTGCGAGGACGTATAGAGAATGGACCAAATACCGTGAAACGTGCTCGACAATCATTGTACCAAGAGTCATCAGCCGTTCCTAGAGGCACTAAAGGGAAAATGGCATTTCAGCGGCTTTCTGCTCTTCACTATGCGAGCAGCATCGCGTAATTCAGACGCGGTTCTGCTTAAATTTTCGCGTTCGATAAGCAGAAGCCATTACAGTGCCGATCCGTAAAGCCGCCATAAAAGTATCCGCAAATTGTCTTGGAAATCATTACCTTATCCCTGACTTAAGGAGCTTTCAATTTTCTTCGGTGAAACGTTTCGTACATTATCTCCTCGTACCGTTTTATCGATCTTGTTACTGATAGAATTCTTACTGATTCTTGTTAACGATGGAACTTTTGTCTTGTTTTATTTATTGTTGAATGTTTGTGTTAATTTTAACCCTTTGAGCTTGGAGCAAATTTTTCACGTTAGTGTTTAGTGATTTGATGGAGTTTGTGGAGGGAGGTTTGTTATGGACATTTGTGCTATTGTTTTAATCGTTTTGTATGATGGTTTGATGAGTGATTGATTTGGTATTATTTTTGATGGGATGATAATATTTCGATGAGTGATTAAATTGTCATGGTGCTTTAGAGAATGATAATATTGCGACAAGTGATTAAATTGTAATTCTTTCTAAAATTCTAAAATTATATTTTAAGAAATTGTCATATATCTTTATAGGATGATAATATTCTGATAAATGATTAAGTTGTCATTTTTTATTGAATGTATTCTGATAATTGATTGAATTGTCACAGAATATAGAATGATAATCCTCCGATGAATGATTAAATTATATGAGACTTATGATGAAAAATTTATGACTATTATTATATTATAGAGACACAAATTACTCATATGTTTATTTATCAATTTATTTTGCTCCCTTCATTTATTTATTTTTTCCATTTATTTTTAATTTGATATTAAACATGGTTCAAATAAGATTTAAATGTTATACATTTTAGTAAAATAATCATTCAAAACTAAAGTTTAATTATTAAAACGAATAGACTTCTTTTAATATTTAAAAAATTTGTACTCTTTTAATGACATAAGAAATTATATAAAAACTTATGTCAAAACATAAAAATATGGAAATTCTGTACTTAACTACTGATTTGAAATTAATAACTCTTGATTATTTTTTATAAAACAAAATAAAATACATGAACAAAAATAAAACGAAATAAATTAATTTTTAATGTGATTTTACTCTTAAAAATGTTTATTTTTGAACATAATAATATTTATTTGAATTAAACAATTTGTTCAAAATAATTACAGCAGAATTAATACAGAATCAATATTTCAAATTATAATATAGAATTGTAATGGTAATATAATTTCTATCAAGATTACTGATTTACGCAAATTTAAAAATTTCCCATTAAATAAATTAATTCTCAGAACAAAACTAGCACGCTATTAATAATTCCAAATACCGACAGCATAATCCATTATAAAGCGAAACAACATTGTTTACGTGTGAGGTAAACTAATTTCGTAACACAAACAGCTTTAAATGAGATTTGCGGTATGGTTAATAAGCCATGACTAATTCCGTTCTTTTTCCAATAATCAATCTACCGATTTAATTATACAGTAGACTGCCGTTATATCGCCACAAACATGTACTAACGAACAATTTTTGGAATTGATAAACATTTTAATCTCATAAAAATTCTTCAATTTTTCAACAAAAAAACTTCTTTAATATTATATTGATCTCTGTATACTATATGAAAAAACAATCTATATTATTTTAGTGACAAATGTGTGTGAAACTTTGTACAAATGCGGCAATATAACGAGGGTCTACTGTACTTCAACGTTTCAAGATTAAAATCATTGCATCCTTTAATCTTCGGTCACTTGTGTACGAACGTCAATGGTTACATATTATATTATTATCCTTTGACTTTACGTCTCTAAACATCGCATCGATTCATAAATATTTCCAAGAAATATTTTTATAAATTCTGGGAATTTTACCTGTTTTCAATTTTGCGAACTTTGACGACTTTTTCCGAGAAAAGCACTTGTGCTATTTCGAAGGGACAAGATTAATATCTAACTTTCGTGAATCAATATTTATTTTAATTAAAAGTCAAAATTGCATGAACTTTGTACTAGTATTAATTAAAAATGTGCATTGTTTTGAGCAAGATTCATCAAAATTTTATGAGAATCCAACGTAATTTAATTGGTTTGCATTTTTTAATTTTTTACATTAAAACATACTTTACACATGAAAAACAAGAAGGAGAGCAAAGCTGAATTCAATGTTCATTCAATTTGAATAATTTTTTAATTAATTTTGTAACAAGTGTTAAATACAAAAATTTAAAAAATACTGGAAATGAATTGTTGAAATTTGAAAAATGCGATTCATATATGAATTTCAAAATTAATATAATTAAAATAGTAGTAAAATAGTTAATGCAGTTTTTCTTCAAAAGGAAACGAAAAATGCAAAATTTAAAAAAGGAATGTAGAAATTTAGTAAAGGAATTGCTAATTAATTAAACTCGATGAAAATATAATTCAAACTCAAAAAAGTGATATCACATTTTCATAATGTATAAAAATCTCATGTATCTTTAGCTTGAATCACACTAATTATATTTTTGAGCTAATATAATATAATTATGCCAATTAAGTTCATAAGTTCATATAATTACACTAATTATATCCATAAGTTATAATGTAATTAAGCTAATTATATCAATAAATTAATATCACATAATTCCTCCAATTATATCCATAATTACTTCGTTTCTATCAAGTCTCAGTGAAGCATCAAATAACCTATTATCTTGTCCCTCGAACATCCCAAAAATTGTTTCATCAAAATCGAAACATCTTCATTTAGAGACGTAAAAGTCAACGTTGAAGCTTCTTTCGAAGAAACGAAATTTCCTCGAATCAATTTACCAGACAGCTCAAGCACAAAGGATTAAAGTACACGTTGTTCACCGGTAAAAATGAATTTCCTCGTGGTTCGCGAAATTAATCGAGGAGTTTCAGGATACTCGAATTTCCTGGTTTTTATAATTGAATAATGTGTGAAGATTACTCACCAGATGAGAGTCCCTTGTGGTGAAAGTGATCGAGTCTGAAGCCCTAGGCTCCCGACAGTGGAAATCCATATTACCCCAGGCGGCAGCGCCCGCGGCTCCACTCCTGACCGCCTCGATCAGCTCCATTTTCACCCCTTCTGCGATGAATTCGACCTGCAAAAAGGGTGGAAAAACATTTTCATTACATCCTCGAGCGATACCAACCCGCCGGATATCGTGTAACGGATTTAATATTGCGATGTAAATCGAGGGAACGAATCGACACAGATTATTATCGAGTTGTGATGGATTTTTCTTATCCTTTATCGACTGTCGATAATTGAAAGAATTTCGAAATTATTATTCAATCGTTACTGCTTTAATTATTATTGTGGCAAATTAAATTTGTGAACTTTTACTGTAATTCACAATATCTCATCTTCGTGTTTCAATGTTTCTCTTGATTTTAGATTTGTTTAAAAAAAATTATTTAGTATCGTATACATTTGCAACATTGTGTAAGAGTGAACTAGAAAAATTTAATTAGTTGTTACATTTTACAAACGTATTAAATAATGTGATGATTTGATGAATAAATTATTAGGAAAAAATTAGAAGAATAATACAAAACGAATTATTAAATTTTATTTATTTAGCCTAACCTAACCTATATGTATACTCTTAAAGTTGGAACTTTAAAAATGACGTTCGTATACAATAAAGCAATATACTAATTTATTAAAAATTTATCAATAAGGCAATATACAGTAATAAAAGTAAAATGAAAAATTAGCACATTATTGTATTATATTGTGTTATATTTTCGCGCCATATTATTGTATTATATTACATCACTGAGGCACTGTTACGTCGTATTACATTACACTGTCGCAGCACATTAATTTATTATATGGCATTATATCATTACATCAATTACGCAACAATTTGTTACAGAATGTTAAAATTACCTATCGATGAAAGTGAAATAATTTATTATAATAATTGAATTTTACATATCATTATCTCTAAAAGCTGTACCAAATTTTTTGGAGATAACAGATAACGTAAAGAACACTATATATTGAGAAATTTTGGTAATAAATTAAATAAAATTGTGAATGATATTCTGTCAAGAATTATATAAACACAAGATGAACAAGTCTTGTTGCATTGATGGACAAATAAATTAAACAAAATTATTGATGGTATTGTCAGAAATAAAATAATCCAAAGACAAAATTGAAAAATTTTATTAAATTAGTTTATCAAATAAATAAAATAAAATTATAGATGAAGTCCTATCAAGAATAAAACAACCAAAATACAAAATTGAAAAATTTACTAAATTAGCTTATGAAATGAACAAAATAAAATTCTAGATGATAATCCACCAAAAATAAAATAATCAAAAGACAAAATTGAAAAAGTTTACTAAATTAGCTTATGAAATAAATAAAATGAAATTATAGATGATATTCCACCCATAATACCATGAATCTAATATGTACAAATCCTCTTACACTGTCTCATAAATAAACTAAATAAAATTGTAAATAATATTCCACAAAAATAAACTAAAGAAGCTTAAAAAATCTTGCAACATTGGTTCACAAATAAATTAAACGAAATCGATTATATTGTACGAGGACCAATAATTAGAATCACGAAAGTAATAATAACAAGTACATAACAACAAATGTACAAGTGGAATCCGATTGAACGTATTTTTACCAGCAACGGGCAAACAGGTCTAATTGAAAGATAAATTCAGTTACACGATTATTAACGTACGCATTAACATAGTAATTACGCATTAGCAAAGATTTATATCGTTTATCGATCTGGAGAATCGCGATTCATCCCCCGCTAGGGAGGCGAACATTATTTACCAGGGAACGTTAAAACCACAGCCGGCTAAAATTTCGGCGTTTTTCAAGTAGATTTACGTCCATCCTTTTTTTATCCCCTGCATGAACAATGTAATCAGCTTAATTAACCGATCGATCGCTTATTAGCTGGAAAGCAAAAACATGATCGGGGTTGCTTAATTGATCGTGTACCCGATGCAGTAACGGTGAAAAAGCGTTACTTAAGTAGTATAATTCTTTTTAATGAAAATTTTTTATGGTTCATTAAATAATTATTGTGATGGTCTTGAATTGAGCGCAAATTATACTATTTTGCAGAATTTGTAAAATTGGACGTTTGGAAGATGCTCGATTTGCAAAATTAATATTTTTATGAATTTTAAGATTTTTAGATTTTTGGGATTTTTAGGATTTTTAGGATTTTTAGGATTTTTGGGATTTTTAGGATTTTTAGGATTTTTGGGATTTGGGGGATTTTGGGGATTTTGGGGATTTTTGGGATTTCTACATTTCTAAATTTCTAAATTTCTAGATTTTTTTAATAAATTTCTAGACTTCAAGATTTGCAAATTTCTAAATCTAGTTGTGTACATTTTTCAATTTCCAAAACCCAAAATTTTCAAATACAAAAATTCTCCAACCCCCAAATCCAAACGACCACGAATTAATACAAATTCCTGAGTCACTAAATTACCAAATTTCTACATTCATACGCTTCTCTATATTTTAATAAACCACGTGTCTATCAACAAGAACATCGACTGAGGTCAACAAGCACCCCTAAAAAAAGTCGCAGTCAAAATGGTTCCAATTTAATTTCCCAAAAGTAACAAACATCACCTGTTCAATAATTGTACATCAGTGTTTTCCTGCAACGGCAATCTATAACGTATAATTCAATTTCCACAATTCTGAATCCGTTTCGCAATGTTTGCCAACAAGAAGACGCACAACTGTAGTTCGCAAACACAAAGCCAGATTCGACCGCAAACAATACCGTATAAATATCATCTAATTTTCCGCGTTCTTCGATCGCCTCGACCAAACTATCGATTACCTCTGCGATGTTCCTTTCGTTGAACAAACAACAATATCCCCGGGGAAAAGCGACAGATCGTGATGGGTCAAAAATTTAGCGATGTTCGCTCGTACAAAATGAAACTTTCAGTATTGTTTGAAAGATACAAAAAAGAACGACTAGCAGATTTTTCCTGGCGTATCAAACTGGCTTATTTCGGTTTCAGCGAAAAATAGGGAGGGAAGGGGTGGGCTACGAGGCCGTATAAATTTCCTTGACAAATGCACGTGCTTTTAATATTTCACCTTTTTTCCTGCACGATATTTTCCATTATCATACGGGCCTGATGTTTAACGGGGACGTTCCTCGCGTAGGTTTTTCTTTTATTTTAAATTATAATCAGAACATATAGATATACAATTTATTTAGTAGCTATTTCTGAGTAAATCATGACATTAAGTTTATTATTAAAACATTTTTTAAAATATATGACATTAATTTTATTATTAAAACATTTTTTAAAATATGACATTAATTTTGTTATTAAAACATTTTTTAAAATGTAGTTAAACAAATTAAACTTTTAATAAATTATTAAATTGTTTGATGGTAATTTCAATTTTTAAAATATTTTTTATTAATATTTTTAACTAAGTTGTACATATATGTGAAGAATGTATTTCTTTAATTTGAATTTTCCCGCGCTCTGCGCATTCACCAAAATGGTGGCTGTCTTACTGTAGAGGAAGAACTAGTTATAACACAAAGAGATATGAGAAAACTAAATAAAATTTAATTATAATACAGATTGTTAGAAGGAATTTATAGCTTAAAGGAACAATTTTTAATGTAGTTTCTTTATTTTCAGGTAGAGTAAATAGTATAAATAAGACGTGCAAAATAACGAATAAATTTTTTGTTTTCAGAACAACGGAATGTAGCTGTGATTTGATTTGTCAATTCTAAAATATGAACAATTATTCTCATATATATTAATATATTGACTACCCCATAACTTATTAATATTTAGTAATAATTAAAAAAAAATAATTACAATTTAAACGTGTCATGTATTCGAAAATTTCATGTCTCACATGTGCCACAACACATACATATTTATTTTCTACATTCTCCTACTTTCCTCAAGCTTTTCAAGCTCATTTCGAATACATTCACTTATACATATAACTATCTCATAAAAAAGACTAATAAATTATCGCCCGCAATATCAAACAATTTTCCGAACACAATTAATATTAGCATATTCGCGGCCTGTTATCCCTTTCACTATCTCCAAACTTTATAAACGACAGCAGCGAAGCAATCTCCCCTTTCAGCATCCAATTCCAGTGAAATCGTCAATTAATAAATTCTCAGACCGCGATTCCCGCAAGTTTCCACATTTCCTAGTCGGACGCGGGATAATTTTGTTTCCATAATTGTTTCCGTAGGAAGTTGAGGCAAGAAATCGGCGTCGGAGAAGAGGAAACTCGTGGCGACTTCTATTTGCATGTTACGCGAATCTACACCGTCGGCCAAAGCTACTTAAGGGACAACATCAGGAAACTATTGCTGCAGTTAACCTTTAGCATCATACTTTTGCTGTGCACTAGGAACGTTAGCACACCAGTCAAAATCACAGGTTTTACAATTTCATTTGAAGATTCTTATTTTAGCTTGTATTTTTACACCGCGATGATGTGATAACTTTTACAGTGATAAAGATTCAAAGTAATGAATTTTACTTTTATTTCATTTATTCGAAAGTAAAATAATTTTGCATCGTGGTTATTTATACTGACACCAGCCATTTTTCAAAGTGAGAAAGTAATCTACTATCTGTTTACCGAACCCGAAGTTTATAACACATTTAGATAGATTTATCGATGTTTCCTCATGGAATTTTATCGTACGCGTCTTACCTAGTGCTACAACATAAACATAAACATGGCCGCGATGTAACGTAACCAACGACGTTGCACGCAGCCATTTTGTATACCACAGTCGTTGGAATTTATATAACAATATCATACAAGCCCCAAAAATGGCTATACGATTGAAACTCTTTGAATTGTTGCAAAAAGTGAAGAATCAATGGGATGCTCTGATATCGATGGTGAATTGTGAGGATGAAGAATGCGGATTAGAAGACAATGAAATTGAAACGTGTATACAGTGATAACGAAATTATAGACAAATGTTCAATAGTCCTTGGAAATAGGTTATCCTCGGATGGTTAAAAAATGTTTACAATTTACGTAAAAGACATGTTTGTGTGCTATCAAGTT